TTTTTTTTTTTTTTTTTGTCGTTTTTTCAGACCTTTGGTCGAAGTATTTAAATGAGTTTTATTGAAAATTTTTTTTATTCTATTATAGATTATGTGAGTTTTTTCCTGTTTTCAAAAAGTTAGCTTAGCAGAATACCTTGGCGTTAATGTTTTACAGTCGTTCCTGTTGCGTTCACTTTTATTAAAATGTTGACCGGTCGTAGAGGAAAACTTACTTTTAGAAGGAGAAGGGGTTATTTTTGCTTGATATATTGACACAGGAGATGCAGCTATGTAATTTATCATCACCTATAATGATGTAGACTGCTGTCAATTTTTTTGTTATGTTTTGATTTTTCTTCAAACTGCACTTTTTTGCGTTTAATAAAGTTAAAATTGTTTTTAGGTTTTTATTTTTTTTGTTTACAAAACCATTATACTCAAAAATTCAGTTGTGTATTTGTAAAAAGGAATAAAAGAGATACCATTCAGCAGTTATTAACGACTTATAAACGAATTTATTTTCTATCTTTTTTTTTGATTGATGGAACAGAGAAATTTGGATGGAATTTTTACGATTACAAAATGCTTCTTCCTTGAATTCCATTAATGAGGGGAATCTGGTAAACGAACCAGGAGAAGGGATAATTTTTGATCTTTTACCCTCTGAATCTTTTAGTTAAAGTCTTTTTTTTCAATTTTTTTTTCTGCGAAGCATGAAATTACTTGCTCCGTTTTTAATTCTGTTTATTTCTGTTTTCTAGTCTTTGATTTCTAATTCAACAATTCTTCCCAAAAAATTTTTTTACTATTTTTGTTTTGTTTTTCTCCCAGAATGACGGATCTTTATCTTCTCCTGCTCCTTCTCCTTCTTCACCTTTTTCTTCTCTGTCTTCTGTTTATTGTCGTTTAGATTAACATTGTGAAAGGTGAACAATTGCCCAATGGTTTCAGCACCATCACCATCAACAGCAACTGCGATAGTAGTTTGCTGAGTTTCCGAAAATTGCATATTTCTTCCTTGCCCTTTTGTACATAACATTTCTGTTTGATCTGCCAAAATTACTGCAATTTTTTAACTTCTGCTATTATTGATGGTTCATTACTGCACTTTATCTGCCAATTAGTTGTTGTTTGCCTTAACAAAATGGAATTTAAATTGTTAAATTGTAGGCTGCCATTATGTTGCTTTAAAATCAAGAAAGCAACTGAACGAAATTGTTCAATATTTCGTCCTGATTTTTTTTTTCAAAGTTTTGAAGCTATTTTCTTTTTTTTTTCAGTTATTTTACAAACTTATTTACTATAGTTTTTTATTTTTATTACTTTTTTTGACATTTCCTTAATTCTCTTCTTTTTTGCCATTGTTCTGTTGGTGTCCTAAGATTGAATATCTATGGGTGCTTTAAAATTTAGTAAACTGTATCTGAGTAAGATATAGATCTTTATGTTTGTGTGTGCTGTTTTTTTCTAGGGGGGAGGAGGAAAGGGAGGGGAGGGAAATCAAGGGGAGTTTTTTGAAAATTCTTGGGAATTTTGAAACGTTAAAGGACGGATTTTAACAGGCTGATGAAAAAGAATGTGCAGTAAAAGCGATTATGGAATATCTAAGCTTAATTTTACTTTTTCATGTTGTAGGCATTAAAATTTGTTATTCGTTTACGTATTTTTTTAGTACAGTTGTTTTTTCTGCTTCTTTTTCTTTAGCTTTTCTGTTTGAGGATTAATAAATTTAACTGCATTTGCAATTGTTTGTAATTATTTTTGCTCTTTTTCTTCTTTTATTTTTATCTTTATTTATTATTTTATTTTTTGAAATAGCGCGTAGCAGATTATTTTGTTGTTTTTGTTACTGCTGCTGTTACTGATAGTGGTGGTGATGTTGGTAAAATGAACTTTAAATGACGGAAAAGTTTTAGAAAATGAAAGGGAGAGAAAATGTTGTTGACTTTTATCGGACTTTTTGTTATTATTGACATGATTTTTAGTGATTTAATCTCACAAAACAAAATCCTGTTCTTTCTTCCAAATGATATGATACATTGGT